GGGAAAGAGGACCCCGCAAAGATTATATTGTTTGGACCCACTTAAGATTTCAAATATTTACTCCTATTATGGTCCCAACCATTGCCTTTCTTTCTTCCTACTTTACTCCTATGGATTAATACTAGCTACTTCACCATCAATTTTTCAAACCATTTGCATATTTTTCTTTTTAATGACTAGAAAGTATAATTCTCCCATATCTCTCACTTTATATTTAGTGAAGAAGAATCAAACTTTATCTATTCTTGATAATTCAATTACATGTTTTTTAATTTTTTATGCATGAGAATACAACTCAATATAGAGATAGTTTATAACAATTTACACACTTTGTTCAACCAACTAAACTGAATCCTCTTAATCAATTATAAACTAGTAAACAATGTAAATTGATTGATGAATTATTAATTTAATTTTTTCTTACATGTATATTGATGACAATAAAAATCAAACTTGAATAATAATAGATGTATTTGACTTATATTAATAAAAAAGAATATTTTCAAATATTTCAAATAAACTCGAATACAAATTGATATATAAGATAGAATAAAATACTCCACAATTTTTTTTTATTGCTCAAATTTGATAATTACTTGAGAAGAGTTAAGCACTCTAGCACAATTGTATTTGTCTAATAAGTGTGATAACAATTTATTTAAGGTAACTTGATAATAGATTACTAATTTATTAACTAAATTTATTCCATTTTATTAATTTAATTTATATATACAAAACATTTTTTATCGGTAATATTTTTTTTTCTAGTTATCTAAGATGATATTTTTGAGAAAAACTATTATAGTAGTTAAACACAATATTCACAACAAATATTTTTTATCAAAAGAAATTTCTTTAGAGTTGAATATATATGACTACTATGAGTAATAAGATTATGCTTCTCATTAATGGAGTTAGGTTGTGATAATTTGAACTCGAATTGATTAATTAAATTTAAATAACTTTACATTATTATCGATCCATCCATTATGTGATATATACTAAAAAATTATTCAAAATAAAATTATCATGAAATAAAATATTTATGAAAGAAATGAAACCTATATATAGATGGATATATTTTTAGTAAGTGATGTATTTAAATCACTTTTTTTTTTCATAAGTTAAGATATGTTGTTTTTCAATTTTTGAAGAAGTTAAATAATTTTTTTAAATAGTTAAAGTGCATAAAATTCATTTTAATTTTGTTTTATTTTATTTTATAAAGTGTGTATTAAAAAGTTTATTTAAATAAAAACATAGCGTGTCTTTGATGGGCTGTATGAGTAGAACTAAGAACCTTATTCCGAAACAAAAAGGAAGGATTAATAAGGACAATAATTTGTTGGCTTTTTTATAAGTCATAAAAGTTGAAGTAACACATTGACCATAAAATCGTTGGCTTCAGTCTTATTAGGCGATAGATGTCAACATTGCGTCCAATTTCAGGTAAGCACAATACCATAACCATATCCCTTTTAGTGATACCCGCGTGATCTTTTTTCAAATTAACATCTTCTTAATTATTCACCTTCTCCTAATTTTAGATGCCAACTAGTTACCTATTACTATATTAGATTACATGAATTAATTAAAATATATATATATATTATCAACTTACAACACTTAAAAAACTGTATTTACTGTATTTAAGTTTTGTTGTTATTATGATAATCAAGGGAAACATGACAACAACAAATTTTAGTAAAATATTTGGTTCAAACAATTAGTCAATGGGGTGATCTATAAGTAAAGGACTAAATTATATTATAAGACCTTATTTAAATTAGGATTTTGTGCAACTTGCTTTTTCAATTCATGTCCATATTAGGCACTATCAATTAGTTGTTCAAAATCATACATTTTGTTAGTATTGAGCTCAATAAATTCGCATAGACGGGTATGAAGTCACACCCATTTTGTTTAATAGTATTGAGCTTATTGTATCTTTTCAAATTTTACTATTAATAATAGAAATTTTGGTTAGTACTGAATAGAGCATTCCTGATTATGCTATGTTCAAGTAATTATAATATCATTCATTTTATGCTTATCAAAAAATTAAACATAATAAAGATTTAAAATTAGTTGTTCATAATGACAATAGTTACAGGTACTAGTGAAAAAAATATCTCTAAATAAATTTTTTAATTACATTAAAATGGATTAGAATATGATACATATCTATTTCATTTCTAATGCCTAGCTATCAGAGTCCGACTTTTTCCCTACATATAGAAGGCTCTATAGCATGTGATACATATACAGAAAATCAATAATTTCTTCATGTTTACATCATTGTGATAAGAAAGCCATCATATATATTGAAAAAAAGATCACCTATTCCTAGCGAAATATATACTAAGCTAAAGTATCTGTTACTTGTTAGTTGGAGGACAGTCTTCCCAACCTATGCATGCTTTAAGATTTAAAAAACTAATGCATGTGATAGCAGTGAGTATTAAAAAACATGGAATTTTAAAGTGAAGATAGAAATAATTTGTTAAGACAAAGGAAGAAACGAATCATGCTGCACGTTTATGCATAATAAATAAATTTTTTATAACATCTTCCTTTTAATTTTTTTTTTAATTTTCTCTTTATATGAAAAAATATTGAATGCTATTTATATCTTTAATACATTAAATAAATTTATTTTTCTATCTAATACTTTCTTTACAAAGTAGTAAGACTTTTGGGTGTACATATAATATCCATAATAATGTTCGAGTAAGATAAAATCATTTAAAAAAAATCATGCACATAATGCACTATTGTCATCTAATTATAAATTATTATAAATGATAAATTTATTAACTTTTATAATTACTAGCTTAAAAATTATACAAACAATATACAACACTAAGTCCAAACAATTCAAATTAATTAAATATCTACACACTCAATTAGATAAAACCATATATATGTAGGAAAAATTGCATAAATATATAACATTTACTCATAATAAATAGTTGTAACAAATTTGTTAATTATAATTATTACTTCTAAAAACTGTTTTAATCAATTAGTGAATCTTCTTATTCAACACACAATCCAATAAATTAAAATACAATTGAGGAAATTGAGGTGAAAAGAAAAGCACTTTAATGAGGTAATAAGAAAGAAGGGTTGCCTTAATTTTCAAAGTCTTTGATAAGTATAGACCAATATAATCCTATCCACACCCAAAATCAACCCTTTTTCCACCATGATGATGATGGAATGGGAACAAAGATCTTGGCTTTTTCCCCCTTAGCAATCAAATAAAATCCAATTGAAAGTGGAAAGAGAGAGAAAGTTAAGATTGGTAGTTGTATTAATGTGGTAGAGAATCTAGGGTCAAGATCATAGCATGAAGCACACATAAGCTTGTTTCTGTGCCTTCACAGTAGTTTTTCCTCTCATGCATTCACTTTAGTAGAAAAAGCTAAAGACAATTACATGCCACCTCTCATTCTCTTTCACCACGTTTCTCTCTCTCACGCACACACATGGTTGGTAATGATAAATATAAAACGAGTTTTCTAGTAGAAAAGAGTTGAGGGATAAAAAGATAGTTTATCTGAACACTACTGAGATGGAGCTTGTGAATAATAGCCAAAAGCTAAAACAGCAGCACCAACAGCATTTTCATGTTTTGGTGGTAGATGATAGTGTCATAGACAGGAAGCTTTTGGAGAGGCTCCTAAGAGATTCTTCATGCAAAGGTAGGTAGTAACCATGTTCTGTATTATGGTTTTGGCCTTAATTAATTGGAACATTATTAGTCTCTTCTCAATTCTTGCCATTTTGTGTCTAATTAATTAAATATTCAATTTATGATAGTATATATGTGGTTTTGGCTTGTTATATATATGAAGCAGCTACCTTCGTGGATTCTGGAGACAAGGCTTTGAAATATCTTGGCCTGCTTGGTGATAATGCTTCCTCAACTTCTAATTCAGAGTCATTGCAACAGAACGTAATAATCTTCTTTTTCCTTCACTTCTTCTTGTTCTTCTCTTTATTGTTGGGTTTTTTTTTAATGAGGTTATTTACTACATTTGACATTTGAGCTGATTTATTACTTATTAGTTTTAGGCTTGTAGAACAGGGTTAGTCTTTTGTTAAAAAGAAGAATATGCATAAGTTTATAATAAATTTTAATATTAATGTGATCATTATAGAAATGAATGAAAAATAATTTTACATAAATTTGTATGAGACATTTTCTTTTAACACTTTTATTAATGTTTTTTTTATTATTATTAGTTGAAAATCACTTATTTATGTGTCTCATTACTAAATTAGGAGAGAGACTTTTTAAATGAAATACCAGACTTACAATATTTATAATTTTTAATAAATTTTGATCAATAACAAAAAATATATTAGAAAGAGAGAAATGTGTTAGAAAGAGAATACTTATTTACAAAAGTTGCTAACATTAGTCGTGTTTACGAGAGAGAAAACATAGAAATGATTATAAATAACATATCAAATTAATTACGCAAGATACATCATCTTAAATATAAAGTGACTTTATAGTATTAAATATTTCTCTTTCATCGTCATCTTATATTCATTTTAGATCTCTTATATATTTCATTGATTAAGAGTTCTTTTGAATAATAATTAAAAATAAAATTATGAGAGTGAAAATTTAAAGTAGACAATATTTATATTAATATGGAGTTCTGTGTGTAAATACTTTCTAAATAACATGATAAAAATAAAATATAACTCACTCATCAAGATATAAATATATTTTCTCACAGATAAATACTATAAGATACCCTTACACTTACATTGACAGTAGAAATTGAACTTGTATATAAATACTATAACATAACCTCACACTTACATTGACGGTAGAAATTGAACTTGTATCATTTTGGGATATGAGTAAAAAAACTTCTTGAAAAATGCGTTAAAAACTTAGGATATACAAGTCATTTGATAAAAAACATATGCATTTCTATCTAACGTGGTACTCTCGTAGCAGTTTGATTCAGCATAATTTTCTTTACTAGAAGCGTATCAACTATATATACTATTCTCTTTTCATGAAATGTCTCTTTTGCTGACCCATCATGGGCATTTTTTCTCCCAAGCTACATTCTGATGCTATCTAGTTTTAGTAGAAGTATAATATCTTGGATAATAATTCTATCTATAAACATGTGATGTTGAATCTTTTGAATTACAGGGAATCAAAGTGAATTTGATCATGACAGACTACTGCATGCCAGGAATGAGTGGCTATGATTTACTAAAACGAATCAAGGTCAAAATTCAGTTCTCATTCCCCTTCCCTTCCCCCGTGAATCATTCATCATGTTTTTCACTAACGTGCAGAATGCCTAGGACCCGTTTTTTAATTAAACGGGTACAACAAAAAAGATTAATTGTTTTGATTTTTTTTCTGCTAATATATGTTAGAAAAAATTTAAACCTCACATTGACTTTAAAGAGTATATAATTAGAAAATAATCTTCATTTTATGAACTGATTTTATAACAATGAATTAGGTCTATAACTCTTATTCTAAAATGTTATTAGAATTATTTTAGTTTCACCAAAAGGTTTATTTAGTTCCTTTTAACTTAAATTATATGTTATTTTTAGTTAATTAAGTTTTTAAATTTTTAACAATTAGGTAAATTTGGTTCATTTGTCAATTTTTTCATCTAATATCCCTAATTCTCATTTTTTTATCTAAATATTTGGATATTTATGATGAAGTTTTTTTACAAGGTAGTAATGATGAATTTAAGATATGAAATAATTAATTTTAAAGCTTCAGAGTAAAAAGCTTCAGAGTAAAAAAAAATAATAACTTAAAGGTTGGAAAAGAATTGTAACATGTAATTAATTAGAGTTTTTCTTATCAATTCTAATATTAGTTTTTTTTACAGGAATTTTAGAGTTTGAAGATGCGAAAAGAATATATATTTTTATTTTAGATGAAATTTGAATTTTAATGAGTAAATTTTGAGTAATCAAAAAAATGTTTAAAATAATTTAACATTTAATTTATAAATATTTAAGTAAAAACAAATATAAAAATAAAAAATAATCAAAATATAAAATTTATTTAATTTTAAAATTCTAAAAAAATAACTAAATATTTTAAAAAATAAAACGCAAATAATTCAAATAAAAAAGACTACAAATACAATTAACCTATAATCGGACAAGTTTTGTTTTTTAACCTTGGTATATCAAACAAACTTTATATATCTGTACCAAAAAAAAAACAAATTTATATATGGTAAAAACTTGATATTTAAGACTAGGCAGGCTGGAATTTTCAGCAACACGAAAGATAAAGAAAAGGGGAAAGATCAGATTTGAGGATCAAAGTTTACTTTTTCTTTTTTCTTTTCTTTATTTATTTGTTCTTTTTGTTTTCCTTTTTTTTCTTCTTTTGTTGACATTTGTTACAGCTGCAGGGATCTTCTTGGAAAGATGTACCTGTCGTCATAATGTCATCAGAAAACGTACCATCGAGAATCACCATGTAAGTTTTTCTTTTTTTAAACATTCTATATCCTTGCCAATAGTCGAAAGACAACATCTAATATAAAAAAACAACAATCTTTAAATAATGTTGTTACAATCTTCTAAAAATAAATAATATTCAAAAATATGTTTTCAAAACTCCAAAAAAAGAAAAATGAATATATGACATTCTCAAGTTCATATTTCATGAAATAATTTTTTAATCCAAGTAACAAAACAATTCTCATTGTTGATAAGAAATATGAATATTTTTTTTATTTGTCTATCACATCATTTATTATTTTTTTAAAAAAAATATTTTTCTTAATTATACAAATTGTTGTAAATAAATTGTTTATTTTACCATACTGAGCATGCTTTTGGACAGGTGCTTGGAAGGAGGGGCAGAGGAGTTTCTATTGAAGCCTCTTCAGCAATCAGATTTGAAAAAGCTTCAGCCATGCTTTCTGAAATCCTTTGAACAACAATCTGCTGACAGATCCGTAGCTTCTCACAATGACAATGATAACGAACGAACGGCATTGTCTCCGGAACATGGTTTTAAATTGCAGTTTGTATCTACAATTGCAACTACAATATTACGATTTTGGAACTCTCTATAATTGCAACACAATTATATTTGTAATTGCATCAAGTACATCTTCCAGAAATACACAGTTACTATAACCACACAATTTAAAATTGTGCTCCTCATTAAACCGTGTTCGGTTTCAGCAATTTTCCTCATTAAACCACAAATTTCCCAAGACACTGTAAATCACAGCATAAAACAGTTTGTTTTAGCATTTAAATCAAGTTGTTGAGGCATACGATCACTAAGCTTTGCCAAACACGGCCCAATTATTGCAAGAAGCAGAAGCGGGTAAACAGAGAGCAACTAAGCACGGTTAGATAATCATATTCATGCATGCCTCCTTTGACCAGAAGAAATCAACACATATTGAGAACAATTCACAAGGATATCAAAGAGATATGGAAAATTCATTGGTGATCTAAAGGATCTACTGGTTTAACAAGGATTAAAGGAATTTACAGCCACAATTTTTTATTGTCAAGCTAACACTACCCCAAGGAAAAAAAATCTACTTAATTCAGACAGAAAACGTATAAATGATAACAAAACTGAAAGGATAAAAGATAAGCAAAGAAACTAAGATCCTTAATTTAAACCTACGAAGATATGAAGATCCTACACATAACTTAGCGTGTGTATAAATATCCTCAGAGAGGAACAGCTGCATCCCTGCAAAAAGGGAAGACATTAAGACAACTAAATCAAAATGTGAATGAGGAACTATGGAAGACAGGTTTTATGGTAGGTTATAACTTATAAGCCAAACAAATGAGAAATGGAAGATGAACTAATGATATACACATATTTACCTTATTCAAAGCTCATCTTTTACTTGTTCTTGCTGATCCAGTTTATCTCGGTTCTTTTCAACAAAATCTATAATGTCTTCCTTCGTCCTATTTCCATCATACTGTGATATCTTTCCACTTGATGACCTGAAGTACATAGTTGGATAACCTTGTACATCAAAAGTCTCCCTTGGTATATCATTGGCAGTTGCATCCTGGGAAGGAGGTGCATGAAATAGTTTAGTAAAAATTATTATAAAAAAAGAATTATATTTCAACAAAGTTTATTTCTATAAAACCTGTATGCTATATTAGTTATTGTTGGAATGTTGGGTGGTTATTAGTGTATGAAATCCTTTTCCATTGTTCTGTGATTAAGCTACTTAAACAGTAGTGAAAGGTGATTGATTAAAATAAATATACGAAAAATCCTAAAAGATAATATAAAGATACGTTTCTTACCAGTTTTGCAATAAAAACATCAGGGTCACTTTGATATGAAACAGCAACTTCCTCTAATATCGGAGCCAACGTTTTGCAATGACCGCACCAAGGAGCATAAAACTCCAGCAAAACTGCAAGGTGTTTGATACAATACTTAACAAATTCATTCTCAATTGTTAACACACGAGAAAAACGAGATACAATAATTTAGATGTACAATACTACAATCTACACAATCATGGATACATAAATGGTATCAGACGGACATGTTCCACAAACTAAGCATGTGTTTGACTTCGCGTTTTATATGTAATGATTTTTGCATCAAAGAAGAAAAAGACACAGAAGCTTACATATCTTAGCATCTGGTTGACACGGATCAATTCATTTTAAACGCATGTCTAAACATGCAATAAAGAAAATAGTAATTTCAGCAGTTTATTTTTCAACACAAACATATGTCACAGAGAAACCAAGCAATTTAAATTATCAATTCTTTAAGAACTATAGAAACCTTGTATTACATTAACAGGAAATGTTGTAAGCCACTGTCAAATCCAGCTTCAGACAGTCGAGGAATTCCACTTTTAGATGAAAGCTTTTAAATTTTAATCACAAGTAGATAGAAGTTTGGTTAACACAATCTTGAATCCACCAGAGATCCAAGTGTAACAAAAAACGCCACAGTACTAATTCTTTAACAACGTAAATCCTCTAGATTGATAGCGGTATTAATCATTATATCATTCTAGCATATTAACCATTCTATTTTGCCAAAATCTTTAGTTTTAGTAAGGAACAGTCAAATCAGTTTATATTAAATTTTTTATTTCAAAGACCAGAGTTTTTCCTTTTATGTTAATAGAATAACTAGGGAAAAAATGAGTTGAAAAAAGATCATTACTTTAACCTTGAAATGTCCAAGTAACAGTTTTTTTTATGCAATATTAAATATTAGGAAATTGATCAGAGTAATAGTAATGCTTTGAATAAGATTTTACACACAAAATGTCACACAAGGCCTTTTACATTTTTCTTTAAAAAATATAAATACTATTAAAATAGTGTGCAAATATTTGTGTTTATCTCCAGCTTTTAATTTTGTGAATTATGTTTTCTTTCATATTCCCGCTTTTCCTTTTCCTTTGTTTTTTCCAGTCACATTTCCTTTAATTGGAAAGACTTCTTTGCAGTCAACCAATGTTAAAGAGAAAGGAAAATTTGAATGGTTCTATTATGTTGCAAACGTAGTTATCAATCCTGGATAGTAAAGAGTATACCATTTGTCCCTGAGTTGAAAACAATGTCATGAAGACTGTCTGCAACTACCACTTTAACAGGTTCATTGTTAACTTCAGGAATAGGTTCAGACTTCTTATATGGTTCAACATTTCCATCCTGAAATTATACAGAGAAATAGTTTGATTTGATGAAAAACAAACTGAAAGAAAAATAACATCAATGATACAATTATTTTAAAATTAAAGATATTACTATACCTCCTAACTACTAAAAATAAAGATACCACCAAATTAAAGTTAGGCCAAAGATATATATTAATAATTGAATGAGCATCACCTTGTATGCCTTCAACCAAGTTGCAATATGATCAGGTTCCAAATTAGTTTTCAGAAACTTCTTCCCATCATTATGTTGAATGACGATTAAAGGCACTTGGTTTTCCTTAAGACCAAAATACTGCCAGGACAAGCCAAATTCATGATGTCAAATATTGATATATGCAGAGAATAAATATAGAATCAGAGTGCAAACTCTTTTGATGCAAACCTGGAATGCACCTTGACTAGCCTCAATGTCTCCCACTAGAAAGCTTATGTCATGTTGTCTATATTGCTCGGCAGATTCACGGTATTTTAATTTGAGAGAATCAGCAGTGTCAGCAGTGAAGTTGATGAACATCATTGCCTAACAATTTCAAAATATGAATTTAGAATTCTAGAACACTAGAGAACTAAAGAACTAGTTAAAATTATCTTCATCTAAAGTAGCTAGTGAAAATAGAAAATCTAAATAAATATACATATAATTGTTGCAATGGAAAAAGTGCATTAACAAAAAAGAAAAAATGAATTCTATCATGAATTGTAAAACAATATGTATATGTATAAACGTGGGATGGCAGAGTAAACTAAAACCAATCCTATTTTTCAAGAGTGATGGTCTAAACCTACATACATTACACTTGAAATAGATAATGAAATAAGTATTTGCCCACGAAAATTTGGATGTTATTGAATTCATAAATTTTTCCAATCCAACATGATAATAAATGTGGATATAAAATAGGGGTGAGATGAACAAAAGCAAAAGAGAATAATAAATATTTAGAAACAGGGGTAAATGTCATGAAAACAAGCAAATTATGGAAAAGTAGAAGGTAATCCACAGGAATGATAATAATAGAAGGGGGAACTCGGTAACAATATGAAACACTGCTACAATATAAAATTAAGAAGAATCCTCTAGCTTAATATTGAACAAATAAAATAGTGCTGGAAAGCATATTACCTTCACATGTGGATTGTCAAAGAATTTGACAACAAAGGGGTGATTGCTTGGGTCATTGTTAAAGACAGTCACAACGGGGACACTAGATTCTTCAACAAATTTCTCTAAAGCTTCGAAATGGAAATCCTACAAGCATCAAACAGTTATCCACAGCCAAATGAGAAACACACTAAACTACATAAAAGAAATTTATCTGCATAAATCAACAATTACCCGGAAGTCAACGAAAAGTTCATCAAATGGCTTGAATAATCTAACTATTGGCCCAGCCACTGATGATTCTCCACGTGGAAGGTGTTTGGCATCCAAGGTGTGACTAAAATCATATTCAGAACGCAATTTCTCTGCCAATGCAATAAAGTTCTCAAACTCCTCCCCAGAAAATTTTGGGAAAACCCCAACCTGATAATGTTGGAAAATAAGATTTTAGGCCGATACAAATCAAAGCTAAACATAAAAGCATGATGATGGAAGATCACTTACAATAACAACTTTATTTTCGCCAATCAAAACTTTAGCATCATCAGCAGATTTAATTTCTGTTGTTGCAGGACCACTTTGCTTCTTCAAATAGTCAACAATGCCGTCTGCTTCACGGGGACCTTTGTAATCTTGAACAACCTTGCCCCCATTTCTCAGAATCTTAATGGTTGGAAATCCCTGAACCTGAAATTCGTTTGCAATTTCTCTGTTCTTTTCTTCATTGGCATCAACTTTAGCCAAAAGAACCGGAGGATCATGGCTACTCAAGATAGAAGCAGCTTTCTCATACTGCAGGAATAAAATATAATAGAAAATCAGCATTCACATATGTTACCAGGTGAACTTAACAAAAATAAAATCTGAAAAACACTACCTCTGGAGCAAGCTTCATACAGTGGCCACACCTAGAAAGAGAAGAAAACGAAAATGAATTATATATCAAGAGTTATGAGTAAAGAGAAAGAAAATTGTTAAAACACAGTTTCAGTGAATAGATAGCCCAGAATATTTAGTTCAATGACTGTGAGCTCAGTTACCCCTCTCACAAATTTCTTGTTAGAAATATATTACTAGCATTTCTTGTTTAGTTATCCTCTTACAAATTTTTCTACTACTTTATAAAGAAAGTGCCAAATAAAAAATAAAAAAGTAAATACATTTTAATGTGTTGAAGATGAAGAACACGCTCAATAAGACTGAAAAAAGCTTCTTCGAATATAAATTAGAAGTATTTTTGAAAAAATTATTAAAAAAACTTTTAATTTCTAGTAAAAAAGCCTTTTCAAAAGCTCTTTTAAATTTATAGCGAAACATGTCTATGAAAAAGATAAGAAGGATCAGTGAGAATATTTTGCAAACTAATGTAAAATTATTCCTTCTCATTAGAAAATCCAAATAATCTTGTGCAGCACTAAATTAAGTAAAATGTCAGTCTTCTTAGGCACATCCCAAAGATTTTTTCAGGTTAGCCAGATATAAGCTTAGAAGTATTTTTAAAAATTATTATTAAAAAATATTTTTATTTTAAATATAAAAATTCTCAAAAATACATCTAATTTGAATTTAAACAATTTTCATAAATCCCAAGCGTGTGGTTCAGTGGTAGGGGTTTATTCACGCTTAAGCAAAGTCAGGGATTCAAATCCTGCATTGTGTATGCAACCGCGTTAAATCTTAGGAGCGATGGATACTCCAGGAAACGAAAAAAAAACAATTTCTATAACTTAAAATTTTTTAAATTATTTAAATACAATTTAAAACACTTTCCAAAAAATTTCTAGAAAAATAACTTTCAAAAATATTTAAATTTATATCAAAAAAAAACTTTAATTATTCAGGTAATCATGCAGCATAAATTTAAACAGAGGTTTTGTATCATCCCATAGTGTTCCCATGCATGGCAAGGTGGGGTCCACCACAGCATATTCATCTTTTTTCCATACTCGTGGATCCCGATGTTCAATTATAAGGAATAGTTACTCTAATTTAAAAAAGAAAACAATAGTTGAGATCTGGAATACGAATGCGGTTGATGAAGAATGCGAAAAAAAGAAAAAGGTAGGTAGATACCATTACCAAGGTGCGTAGAACTCGACGACGATGAAGTTGTGTTTGGTGACGGTGTTGGAGAAGTTGGAGCGGTCCAAAGTGAGCACGAACTCCTTTTGTGCGGAGATCGACGCGAAGAGAGAAAGAAGGAATAGGAAGAAAATGGAAAGCATATTATCCGCCATTGATTTGATACACCAAACACTCAACTGTGAAGCGCTCGCAACTCAGTTAGCGGAATATGGCATTGGCAATGCATGTGACTCATCCAAACTCACGTTTTTGTCCCTTTTCTTATATTTATTTTCAATTATTTGTCTGAATAAAGGTGTGTTGATAAATTATAACCTTAAAGTTGGAAGAAAAAAAAAACCATCTAAAAAAAATTATGAATTTAACGGAATAATTTATAAATTATTTTTTTATCAGATTTTGAAAATATATGTTTTAGCTTGTATATATAAATATATATTTTATGATATTCTAATATTTTGTTTTATTTTATTTATTTATAATTGTGAAATTATCACGTGTATGTATATTTATATTAATTAGAATAATTGTTTGTTTTGCAAAGTGTTTTACATTGCTCATTTTCTCTCACACAGTTATTTTCATTTAAAAGTTCTCTCATCTCATCGAAGAAATATACTTTACGTTTTTAACATCTATCTAAAAATGTATTTTATGTTTTTCATATTAAATGAAGGATGAGTTATCTAATAAACGGTAATTGAATATATAAAATATATATATATGTTTTAATTTTAAAATTTAAATATTATCTCTTTACATTATCTTTATATTTACTTTAATGTTTTTTAACTTTATATTTTTATTTCAATATTTCTTTTAAAAATTATTAGTAGTTAAAAATACTTTATATCTAGATATAAATTATTTATTATAAATATAGAATATAATTTAAGTTTAAAAAAATTATTTATTACAAATTTTAGTTATAAAAAATAAATAACTATCAATTATGTTGTACAAGCTAAAATATTAAATATGTTTATTTATGAAAAAATATATATTTAAAAAAATATTTTTGTAGCTATTTGATTAAAGATATATAGATATAATTATCAAGTTGTGTAAATTTATTTTTAATAACTTATAATACTATTATCTTTAAGAAAGAAACCAATCAAGTGATCCACTCACTTGCAAGTACATCACCATCATATGCTATTTAATTTTATTCCAAAATGTGTTGTTTCTTTTATTATGAATGAAATGTCTTAAGTTTGTTTCCTTAAAAAGATATTTATATTACTATTATCTATATAATAACTTATAAATGAGATGTTTAATATTTTTATTATATTTATTTTTGTAATAATGTACTTTGAGTCAATAATTCTCTTAGCTAGTTTATGTTCTATATATGTTTTAGGTGAGTTAGAGAATCCCAAAATATGAACCCTTTCTTCTTATTCTTTTTTTAGTTTCAGGAAAGTCTTCGAGTTGGGTTGTTAGGGGTTGGATTCTACTTCAAACTTCTAGAGCTAATGATCTATGGTGTAGTGCGAAGCTTCATGAAGCTCGACTATTTTATTCTTCCTTCCTCTTCTTCATTTTTGGTGGTTTGGAGTCAAGGTAAAGGAAATTTGGAGCATTTTGTTGTTAGATTATTGTGTTGCATGTTGTTGTGCTTACACCAATAATGAGTTCATGTGTTGAATTTTTGAATTACATGATGAAGTTGTTAGGTTAAGGTGTTGTGAGAAGCATGTGAAGTGAATTTGACGATCTTGAATGATCCTTGTTGCATGTTGTGTTTCTGGTTGGAAATAAGTGTAAAATGTTGTATATTGTGGATTTGATTGTTGCATGCTTGGTTTGGCTAAATTTCAAGTCTTAGAGTGCAATTTTCGTAATCTACAAGTGTAGAATCTAAAGTTATGTTAGGTGTGCCTTTAAACGAGGGTCTCTATTATGCTCACACTAGGTGCAAGATTGGTGGTGCCGGGTGTGAGGAGAAAGACTTGCCTCAGGTTGAAGTGGCATCAGACATGAGGTGAGAAAATTGACTTTGCCTAAATTGCCACTGAACGTGAGGAGAAAGAATCACCTCAGATTGGCATAAGGTTAAGTGTGAAATTTTGCCACACCAGGCTTAAGGTCCTAGGGGTTCCCTACCTTAGTCATGCTAGGCACGGGTTGAGTGGTGTCGGGTGTGAGTGAGGCAAAGGACTCCTTGCCTCAATGATGTCGAGGCCAAAGTATGTTGCACCGGGCATAGATTACATTATGAATACTTGTTTCTTGATGAATTGTATGGTGAACATCGATAGAATTGTTAAGTCTATTACATGTTGTATATTGTATGATGATGATAGTTCTATATATATTGATTTGGGATAATATATGTAGATGTTTGTATGGTTGAATTGTAGTTAAGCATTTGTATGTTATACTTGATTGAGATGTTGAGCATTGATATGCTATTCTGAATGAGTTGATAAACATTGGTATGTTGTAATGTAATGGTTTGATTTGATCTCTATATGCATTGACCTGGGTAATGTATATAGATTATGTATGTTGAGGTGTTGATGTTAAGAATGTTATGGGCATTAAAACATGTTGATTGGCTTAGGACTGGAGGAGAGGTGTTGTTTTTGAAAGTTGAAGATCTCATATAGAGAATCTTGTTATGACGCTTTAAGAGGTCATTCGTTGAAAACCCTTCTTAAATAGGTGTAAAACTATTGGAGTAGATTTTATTGAGTCTTCTCTAGGTCTTTAGTTAATATTTGAGTAAAGTATAAATTCGATGGATACAACTCTTAATTGATTACTGGAAAGGTTGCATGGTACCTTGAGAATAGTCAATGGGGTAATTCCATATGTGACTTGATAATGTATGTTAAGGTCATGGTACACCTATATCTAGCTATACTAGCCTTGATGGTGGAATCAGCCTTTTCTAGTGTAAGTGGTGACACTTGAGAAATCAAAGGAGGGATTGTTATCCCATTTTAATTGTCAATCTAGCGGGTGCATTGGACATGAAAACAATCAGGTTAGTATAATATGGTCAAGTCACTTAGACTACTAAGGTGTTTTAGGAGATTTTCATAGGTGAATGCATGACGATGCATTAATTGTTGTGTGTGCATGTAATGTGGTGTGAGTTGATTGTTGTTCATATACACTGGATGAATATCATGTTGTATGGTATGATTGTAGTGAATGTGTTTGAATTGCTTGGTGTTTAGCTTTCAAACATGTTGATTGCTTTGTTGAATTGGTGACTGTTGTGAACCATGAGGTGTTTATAGTTGATTTATAATGGATGTTGATAGTAGCATGGATTTTTTTTTTATACTTGTATATTTTTGAAATCTAACTTACTCTTGTATGTTTTTCTTGTGGTTGGAACAATGATAATCATGATTTTTATGGAAGTAGGATAGGATGAGCTGGAGTTGAGCTGTTAAAGGCTTCTACTAGGTCATGTTGTTGGTGATATAGTCTTTGATTACTTTTGTTGGTCTGTATAGACGTTGCTTGACTGAAAACTTAGAATTTTATTTATTTGGTACTTATCAAATTACTATACATATCCTTGTATAGTTGTTTTAGTTGTATTTACACACACACACACACACACACACATATATATATATATATATATATATATATATATATATATATATGTCATAGTGTACATATTTTGATATTGTGAGTATATAATTCTAAGTGGTTTGTTGTCTTTCTACTGCTAGTAGTAGATGTTTCATAAGTGTGATGACCATGACAAGTCATTACAATAATATAGCTTATTATTTATGAATGAAACTTGGGGTGTAAGTGAGTTAGATTTGGGTGGATCTATTACTCGATCTGATCAAAATTCAACAGATCATATTAGGTTGATTTGTGCATTTTTTTTTTTTAAATTTAACCCAACTTGATCACAAATAAGTTTGTGTTGGATTGAGTCAATTAAGTCAATATAATTAAATTTATTTGTTTTTATGAAAATTTAAATATGGTAGAATAAATGTAAATCATTTAACATCTTGCTCCAAATGTAATAATATCAACACATAAATAAGGATACAAACTAAATTTCAACTCAAACTACTAACATTAATACAAAGTAAATATATTGTATTATTACAACGCTATCAACCCAAAAACAAAAAACTTGTTATTAAATAATAGTGATAATGAGTATTGTCATCAATAAGTGACCATCTAAATACTAACTTATTATTATTATTATTATTGTCGGGTCGAATAAAAACACAAAACACATTATCTAACTTGTAAAATATCAACTTTTGATGAGATCAAATCAAGTAAAATCAAACTTAATACTAAAAAGATCTAACCTAAATTCATTAAATCAATTTGGATCGATTCATGAATTATTCATACCCATAATTAGATTGAGTAAATGAGTTAAAAACAATTCACATTAAACCAATTTTTGTAAAATTGAGTAGAAACCATAGTAATTACGATGTGACCAATGACTACTTGAATATATAACGAGTAATGCTACACAAGCCGAAACTTATTCCAAATTATCATCCGAATTATTAAAATATTATTATCTTTTAATAAATTTATTATAAAATAATTATTTAATTTAATATTTTATCATTTAAATCAATTTTTTAATAATTCGGAAGAAATTTGGGCGTCTTCTTTGGGAGAGTGCAGCATTTTCCATATATAATATAGAGAGAGCGCACAGACAATTCCAAGAAGGAATCTGAACGGCAAAAGCAGAGTATATGAGACAATAGACACAGCACCCTCCGTCGGACCACACTATTATAAGCTGAATAATTATAAAGTATTACAATAGTATTTTCTAATAAGAAAATAATGATTTTGTCATTGCATATATGTCTAGACTGAATGCTAGGTTGGTGAAATAGAAGAGTTGTTCTGTGTGGTCCAAGTTGATCGTGCATCATGGCGTCTACCACGAAGAACAAAAGAGTGTTTGATTGGGAAGAAGCTTCAGCTATGGTTAAGGAACTGAGGAGAACCTATGATTGTGGCAAGACTCGGAGCTACGAATGGAGAAGTTCCCAGGTGAAGGCCCTTCTCAAATTAGCCCAAGAGAAGGAGAAAGAGATCGTTCAAGCTCTTCACGCAGACCTATCTAAGTCCGAAACCGAAGCCTTTGTGCAAGAGGTACTCATTCTCACTCTCCAAATCAAGATGAAAATGATAGATTGAAAAGAATAATATATTAACAAAATTTTGTAAAAATGCTATTGTTTAATTTTAAATAAAAAAAA